CAGCAAATGCCTAGGCTTCATTTTGTTGTAGATACTTGAGCCCAACCCTGACATCCATTCTTTGTTTTATGACTTCTTACCCACCAAGAAACATTGCCGATGACATACATAGTCTACGCTGTGCTGTATGAAAGTTTTCAGTTTTTCTTTAAGGCGTTGACAAGCGGTGTGGTTCCGTCTCTTGTGTCTCTGCTTGGGAAATTTTTTCGCTTCGGAAAGTATGGAAGACAGCTGGGTGACTTCTGCTTCATCTGCTGGACGGAGGTGGGCGTTTTTCCTCTTGCATATCGCTTATGACCGTTATGATAGGGTATAATCAGTCGATGGCGAAGGCTAGCAAGGATAGAGAGTGTCGTCTTATAGGTCTAGCTTTCTGCGCCTCTACCCAATGCGTTGACCTCCCATCCACTTTATCAAACATTTTATCAATTTTTCATTTTTATGATATATTTTTCATAAATTTTCTTTGTTCTCGAAGTCCATGTCTATAATTTTTAGGCAGTCTTTGAATAACTGAAGTTCTAAATGTTTTTCAGGATAGCGTTCTTTGGGGACGATACATGGCTTCGGCTTTTCCCAAATGCGTTTGTCGAAGCAGAAGGTGTGACGTCATTTTTCGTGAATGACTTTCACTGAGGTAGCGTAATTTCGCTGATTCTCCTGTCCATTGTTCCTTCAAACTCTCAAAACCCTTCCTATATTTTTTAGCACTATTTATCCTTGGCTGCCCTCTCCTCGAAAACTGAACCGCATTCGATCCAAATTCGTCTATGACTAAGAGTTTGGCTAGAATGTTATCTCAAGGGATATTTCAATCCGAACAGCACAAATTACACCAGTTCCGTGCGAAAACCCGGGCGCACGCGCCACAGGGGTCGGCGCCGTGGCAAAGACCACAAACTCTCTCGCAACAAACTTATGTGATTTTCATGCTCTACGGGTCAACCTACACCTGAAGTCCAAGTTTCCAGCGAATTTAACGGCCCAAAGTGCCCCTAAAGGACGAATCCACCTTTAGTGGCCCAAAGTGCCCCTAAAGCGCCGGCGCTTGGGTCGCGAGCGTCAGGCGTTTTCGCGGTAATCCGATGAGATATTCGTACTCTACAGGTCAAAGTGCCCCAGCTGCAGCTTTCTAGCTAAAGTCACAGTCATGGACAAATTTCGATAAAAATCCGGCTCAGTTTTTGTTTTAGGAGTGGGGCACTTACCTTAAGGCAACTCCGGATTGAATTAGTGCTAGCAGCCGCTCGTCTGTAGTGATGCCTTAGTCTGCGGAACGCGGCTGAAAGTGGCGAAGCAAAAGCAAGAGAAATCTTAACGAACGCTGAAACTAAGGTCTTACCCTTTAACAGGGGTCGGATGTGGTACGATGGCGAGAAAGGGCGGTCAAAGAAGACAAAATACGCGAGAGAGCACGTCGTTTGAGAGAGCACGCTGATCTCTACATCAATGCACGCTGATCTCACCACCTCTCGCGGTGGGTGGGAAGCGTTGGAAATGGGTCGATGGTTGCGGGCCCGTAAGGAATAGCGCCCTAACCGCGCAATTTTTGCGACGAAGCTGGAGTGATCTAGGTAGTTACAGACCTTGCAATTTCCCTAGTGGTATCCCTCCTACTAGTCGGGCCAATCCCGGGGTTTGCCTTCAAGGGAAAGTAGTGCCTATTTTTTTATTGAGTTGTGTAGTCTCGGAACTGTTTTTTTTTCTTTCAATTAAGAGCTGTTCTTGAACCGAATAGCTTCAGGTGGATAACAACGTCACTCGTCATTTGGATTCAGTATTAAATAGCCGTAATTGGGATGTTTTGATACTCCATTATCTCGGATTAGATCACGTAGGTACGTTTTAGATCTTCTTTGCCAAGTGTACTGCAAGTGCCTTCTGTTGATCGTATAGGTCTCTTCGAGTTTTGCCTACTAAGCCACTTTTAAGGGCACTCTCTTGGTGGTCAATCGCCAGAGATTAGGCGAAAGCTTAAAGAGATGGACGACATTGCTCGACGAATATTCGACGTCGTTTCGGTACGTGTTTTGCGTAGAGAAAAAGAGATTCTTGACTTTTATCCTGACCACAATATTGAATTGCCAACTTTGAGGAGCTCCTGGGTGTGCCATTAACCCATTCGCGACCGCGCGCAGGATTGCGCAATAGCAGCAGCGTCAGAGATTTTTCTTCAATAAAATCCGAGTGAAGGGAGATTTCCTCTGCCCAGGGCTGGCGTAGATGAGCGAGGGTATGAAGATTCTTTCCATGGAAGAAAACTTTCCAAATTCCATTTCAAGCCCTGCAGCCACAGTAATACCATTGTCCCGAGTGAGAGCTTTGTCAGCCACCGGTGGCTGACATTGCCATGAATGGGCAAGTTATTACGCCGACAGTTGTTGCGCGCATCGGCCTTTAGCCACAGCGGGCTTCTCAAAGACCGAGTGGTGCAAACTGTTCTTACGGTATGTCACGCCATTATATTAGGAATTGACGGTCCTCTCGCTACCTGCGAATTATTCGACAAATATTGGACACGCGTGCTGGTCTTTGTTTCTTGGAGTCGTTTAGAGAGACAGATAATAAATAAATGGTAATAAAAGAAAATAATAGCATCCAAGGGATATGGGATGCGTTTCGAAGGATTCGAATTATAGCAAGTCAAAAATCGTAGGAAAAAAGACGGTGTTTCAGGCTCAATCGCCTCTTCTTTTGGTAGCAGTCGGCGACCACGGCATGACAAACGCCGGCTCTCATGGTGGAGGAAGCGAAGCTGAAACGAGAGTCCCAATGGTATTCGTGCACTCCAAGGCAAGCATTACTCAGCCTGGAGATGTAAACGGTGCGTTTTTGCCGGAAGAATCTACCAGTAGTATTTCAAATTGAGGTTGCCCAAAAGGTTATTGTCAGTAGTATGTGCTGACCAGAAGCTCAGTAGTATGGGTTTGAGCGTAGAAAATAGTGCAGAAGGGGTAGGACGCGTGCCAAAAAGGGCTATCAAGGCTGTGTGTCATACTCAAGAATTGAAGAGGCAACGAAAAGGGGGAAGGTTTTGAGGAGATTTCGACGTCATCCATTGCATGGCGCCTTAGACAGTTAGATAACTCAGTAAATGTGCCTGCGCGCCAAAGTTAAAGCAACAGTTCAGGGAGGGTCCGAAAATTTCAATGCCACTACTACTGAGGGATACACGAGCCCTAGTGAAGAACATATGCAGTGGAAATAATAAACGAACTTACCTCAGAAACTCAAAAACAGGGTGGAAAGTCCCTCAAACATGGGTGTTCTTGGGGATTTCCCCAATCCCGCCCCCTTGCCGGCCGTCATTGGACGCGTCGGCAATCGTGCTCGTTTTGGGACCACAGGGAAAATTGATTGAAAAATGGAGCGCGTTTACAGCGGGCACGTTCAGACAACTCGTCCAACGTGCGTCTTTATCCATTGCTGAGCGGCAGAGGGAGAGTACCTGTCTAAGACCCTCCCCGACGTTTTTTTCCAGTTTTTCATACATTAATCGTCTGGTTTTCATCTACAACTTCATTATTGGTGGTTTTTTCCCGCGAAACCGTTCCTGAACTGTTGCTTTAAGGTCAAGTCAGCCAGAGCAAGTGGATTTGGCCAGCACGTTGCCGTTCTTCCTTCGAGTGCCGATTCCTTTCGGAAGAGTGTGGGTCTGTCTCTGATTCCACAGCTTGGCCTCCCAGTGGGTGTTGAGCGACGCCACACAGTTTTTTCTGCTGCATTTCAATCAGCTGTTCACTTCTACCAAGTTCGCAGTGGTGTTATTTTTCTCTATTACATATTTTCCGTAACTAAGCGCAATTTTCAAACTCTATAAACTTCATATGTTCGCGTTTTTTTTTTAATTCTTCACTACTATCTCTTTTCAAGGGTGTGATTATTTTTAGGTAAAATTGAAGCCTCGGAACTTAAAGTTTGGATACTAAATAGTTAACTAGTCCGTAATAAGGCAAAAGTGTGGTGGCATCGATACATCTTGAATAGATCACATCCAGCACTGCTTGTGGGAGTACGGGAATCAGTACGATGGTATCCTTATCTCCCCCCCCCCCATACCTCCCTACTGAAGGGATCTTTGTATGGCCTTGGCCTTCATTGAGCTCTGAATTCCCAAGCTCTTCTCCTAACTCCTAGCACCCATGATTTACCTGCCTACCTTCGCAAAATTCCCTTGTACGGATAGGAGATGAGCGGAGGACTAATTGGGCAGTATGAAACAGCTGCAATGACACATAGTGCAAAAATTTTTATATGTTTTTTTTTTTTTTTTTGAAAAGGCCCCTATCCCTTATGTTAGAATATAGATGCATCTTCATTTATATACAACAGTTTCACTCATTTCTCTTTAAACCCTTTCCGAAACTTCCGAATACTACCCCTTCACCCTCGATCCGAATCGTTGGACCGAAGGGGAAGTTGACTCTGGGCGCATTTTATCATGACTCTAGAAGGCTATGAATCGTCATGAAGTGAAAGTGATTTGATCACCGTAGAAAGGATGACGTGTCCACTCCTCACTCCCCCTTCCCCCTTCCCCCCAACCTTCACTGTCCTCTATGTGTTACCTGGAAGTCCTACCAGGGTCAAGCGAGGCGTCGAGGAAAATTTGGAAATACGACCCCCCCCCCCCTCCGCCAGAGGCCGAAGTCCATGAAACGACCCTCTTCAAAAGCCGAACTATGGAAAGGTTGTCTAATTCTCCCCCAAAACTGTTCATAAAAAAAGCCCTGCTATCACACCGTCAACCGAAAATTCTTTTAAAAAGTACAAAAGTGAAAAGTCAAAAAATTAATCATTATTGATGAGTCCTGTCAAAACGAGCAAACGAGAAACGGAGCAAAAAACGTCAAACTAGTCACTAGAAATGGCGTACTATGACAACACCTCTTCTTTGTTTATTTCCTCCACAAGACTTACCAAATTCTAGTACTACACAGATTATGGTTCTCAATTTACACGTCCCCCTTTCGCTCAAAGGAAGCCTTGTAAAAGCCTTCGCCAGCTGTGTGTTGACTGGACTTTGGCGTTGACCGTGGAGCAGCTTATTTACTATTGAAATTTGAACAAATATTCAAATGATTATAACTTTCTTCAATGACGAATTTTCAATCTGAAAGCAGATTTGGGAGTTTTGTGAAGAGCTTTTCTAATCAGTATTGAAATTACAAAAAGTTATAAGAAATAACAAATTTAGATCAATTAACGAGGAAAATTCATGATGAGCACGAGTTTTTACACTTTCCGGAGGCTCGTTAATTGCTCCCTTTTCGTATCATTCCGTATAATGTTAATATGTCAGACAAAACTAGAAGATTTCTCTATCAAATGGTTGCTAAAGCAGCTTTATATGTCCACTATTTAAAAAATGGCCACGTTGAGGATTTTTGCAAAATTAACGAGGAAAATTTGCGATGAGTGCGAGTTTTTACGCTTTCCAAGGCCATAACTACGTTCAAACTCCATCCAATCTGAAAAGTAAATAACGTCATTACTAGGAACTGCTAAAAACGTCCACAATTTAAAAAATGGCCACGTTGAGGATTTTTGCCCGAGTACCGCCGAAAGTCACTTTTTCGCTGCATTAGCACTACTCCAACGACTATAGCTCCTTTCAGGGCAATTATACACTAAAGTAGGAGCAGATTCGAAATCCTCTTTCTTTTCTCTTTCCAAAAAGTGTAAAATTGTTTAGCGTGTCTCAACTTTAACGATTACATGCTTGTGAATTTGACGCTGAAGGCTGCGTTTCTTGTTGAATAGTGTACTCCTCCCTGTAATTTCACATGAACCCTTTCAGAATCCTCTTAATTTTTCTCTGAATTGAGAGTTTTTCTCTCAAGAGCCGTAGTTAAGCGCGCGCAACTAACTGGGCCCACTCTGGTATGCGCCGTGTGCTTCACATCCCTTGAGATTCGAGGACTCACCTGAAAGATAAAATATCCGTTGGAAAACGTGCGAATTTTGGATTTTTTGACTTGTTAGTGATAGTTTAAAGATAAAACTCTGAGGTAGTGAAAAATCACTACGCGCACACCTCTGAATTCACAGAAAAAAAAATTGTTTTTTGTTTTTTTTTTTATTTATGTGGGCGGAACAGCATTGGTACTGGAAGTCCTCTGGCCTTCCATGGCATCGACTCGATCCCTGATGTTTGTCCTCCGACAGTGGTGCATCAATCCGGCCCGATCCCTTCCTCCCAGCGGGCCAATACGACCCCCCCCCCCTGCGACGTGTCGAGGATTCCTCAACGCACACTTGACCCTGTCCCCGACCGTACCCTTGGAACAAGGGACTAAACAATTCTATCCGCATAGTTGGCAGCTGGAACACCGTATTATGAAACCATCAGAGTCTGATTTCCACACAGCTGTCTCAAAATATCAAGAAATCGAAGAAGGGCGGAAGTGGTGTAGTGGCAAGTGGCACGCTTACCACGCGAGCGGTCCGGGATCAAATCCTGGGTCGTGAGTCGCCCGGGCCAACCAAGCCTTCCATCCCTCCGGGGTCGGTTAATTGGTACCAGACTTGTCTGGGAGGATAAAAACACTGACTTGAACATCGGCTGGCCCCCGCAAGTCATTGTATAGGCCACATCGCATTCAAACGCCACTACGAATGTACAAATGGAAGTAGAATGCGTGCCGCATCCCAAAAGGGATTGATCAACGGTTGTATCATCCTTTTTATCAACTGGCAGATGCTCCATCCTTATCCTTTTATCTTAAGAAAGTTGATATATTAGCAACGCGTATTCTCGCTCCCTCCCTTGGTTTATTTTGATAATTCTGAAGTTTTTCTTTCATTTCCCATTTTTTCCCGGTTTCCCTATTACTTTTACTTTTCTTTTTAGACTCCTCTATACTCGCGCTTTCTGACGTGCACGGTGATGAGCGTTGCCGAATTGCTAAGACTTTCGTTTCGCATGTTAGAGGTCGGCTTGGCTATGGAGGAGAATCGACAAGCTCAGCGGAAGATCATTCAGTCACAGGAGCAAACGTTTCGTTGGCCAATCTTCATTTCGCTTGGCCTTACTCGTTATTGTTAGTTCACCTCCCTCCATTTTCATAGTTCCCTACATTAGCCATGTCGTGACGTCAGGATTGTATACAGAGGGGGGGGGGGCAAAAAAAGACATTTTGCCCAGGTCACATTTCGGCCTTTTTTCTTCGCAGAGATTGCTGTCTGTCTGTGTATGTATTATCGTTCTTCTCAGTCAAAATGCATATATAGTCCTATCTGTCTAATGCTATCTCTATATATGTCTTCATGATACCCTCACCGTCTTCAGATAATATGACGTCATCTGTCACCGTCGTCGAGCTCAGGGAGGCCTACAGTAACTGCTTCAGCCTGAAGCTCTTACAGAATTTCTTGGATCGATTCAACGTGGGATAGTTTCCTAGGGACATTAGCTCTAACTATGCAAACCCCCTCGGAACCGCCCTTCGGAACCCGTCGTAACGGTACACGATCAGTCGAGAACCCCATTGAGCTCGACCAGAGCACCATGTTTCCGGTGGCAAAATTTCTGATGCC